CAAGAAAATTGAAGGGGGAAAAAAAAGAAAGAAAGAGAGAAATGTTTTCATCCTTTACCAATTCCAACCAACCACATTCTCTAGACCTCAATCTCACCATTTGTTACCTCCGTTAAAACACGAGTTTTTCGTGATTGCAAATTGTTTTATCGAAATTCGTAAGCATACGGGTGTTTCAATTTAATATACTCTGGTATTTGTTATGTTTTGTTGCCGTGTTTGGGGTACTTTTATTGAATTGATCATCTTTGATCTATTATAATCATATAACTAAATTTTATATTTATAATACTTATATAATGATGTATAAGATCCTCTTTATTTTTAATTTTGCAAGAAGAAAATTTTAAGCTCCACTACCTAAAACCTAAAAAAGTCATTCACCTTCACTAAAATAAAAAAAAGACACTTAAAATAATTTTGTTTAATTAAGAGAATCCCTAATTTTACACGTTACGTTAATTTGATCTATAATCAATTAAAAGGTTTAAGATCTAAAATCAAAGAGTACTGTACATACATTGTCATCTTCTTTTTTTTTTTTAAAAAAAAAAGAAAGAAAGAAAAAAGAGAAGAAAAGAAAAGATATTCTTAAAATCAGTGAACTGATCAACTTCCACTCTGAGACTCTCACAGTGATTCTGACTGTGCACCCTAAAGCAATATGTACAGATATGTCCATCCACCTGCTTCTTCCATGTGGTAGGTCTTCTTATAACTGAATATATATATATATATATATACGTGCACATATACATATACGTGAAGGTGCCTGTTTAATTCGGTGGATGAACACTCCAAGCCTATATTTTTTTCACTAAATGATATAAAAAAATATTAATTAATTACCGTCATTGTTCAGTAAAACAGAAATATATATGCCGTAATAAATGAATATGGTTTGATTTAAAATATGTATTAAATATCATACTTAATCTCACATTTACACACTAATCACTCATTCAAATACTGATTAGTAGTGTCATATTTTAATCTAAATAAAGAGGTTATATTTACATACAAATAATCCAACTGGGTAAATAATTAAGACTAGTTTTTCCTGATATGAAATACAAACACACATGTATTTGTTGTAATCATGTCAAGTAGTATTGTAGCTGAAATATTCAACTGCATATTCATACATATCTTGGCTTATACTTGCAAATATTTTGTGTGAAATACTATTGCATCACAAAATTGTTGTGCGTTTCACGCGGGACTGATTAAAAGTCAAACATGATATGTATAAATCATAACAACTTAACTGCACGATCTTAATTCCCCTTCAAAAAATGCATGATCTAGATTTTATATACATATATATATATATATATAACATGCAAAGTGATATTGACTTGCGGAAAATATCTGATAAGATCAGAGAAATCCCAGTGCACATGGCATATCAGGAAAAAGCTGCTGCTTTGTTGATTCTTGGAGCCGAAATTTGTGTGATTATTAGTGATAGATATCACAGTACACTGCCATATCTGAACCATTCAACCAATAATTTTGTACCCCTCACAGCAAAATCCTTCTATTAATGTATATATACACACACACACACAGATATATATATGTAGACAAAGCATAAAAGAGGAATAAACTTCTCAATTAAATAAGTAATGGGACTAATATGGATTGGGAGATTCATGCATTTGTAATGTTATTTTGGCCACGTAGTTAGACTTTGAATGAATACATATATATGTGTAATGTGTGGTATGATGGGACACTGATAGAATGGCATCTTCAAAATTCCTTCAAGCAATATCCAATCAAATTAATATACCTTCCATTAACCATTTATATGTGCGTATACATAATACCAATATAGAGATAGAGAGAGAGATTCGCAGTAATCTAAGTACTGTTATACCGTATGCATGGAGTCCTAATTGCAGGGTACTAAGTAGGTTATATAGTCGTTAAGGAAGTAATAAAAGAATATATGTATATATTAATTAATAAATTAACAAAAAGATAAGGATAAACTAAATGTTAATCTCATGATGATAATCAAGAATGGCGGTTTACCAAGTAAAATATATACATATATATATATATAAAAGAAGTACAGATGGGACAGGGAGAGAGACAGAGAGCATAGTAGTACTACTCCTAAAGCAATGCCATAATAGGGTAATATACCCTACCAAGAAAGTGGGTACTGCCCTTTTCCTATAAATAGAGGTGTATGGGAGTCTCATATAGGTCATCCTCCCCTCAACCTAATTCTCTCTATTCATCTTTCAATCTCCCTCTTCCTATTTAATATTTTTTCCTTTTAAAGTAACTTTACTTTTGTAACATAATTATTATAATAATAAGAATAGTAGTCTTATGGGGTAGGGAATGGGGAGAAAGAGGAGGCACTGGTGATGTTGTTGACAGAAGATAGAGAGCACAGATGATGATATGCAATTCATTAATGGATCAGATCAACTCTCTGCATCTCACTCCTTTGTGCTCTCTATGCTTCTGTCATCATCTTCAGCCCCTCTAACTCTTGATCATTTACCCATCTCCACTTTCTCCATTTTTGAGTTTTTAAGGTTTTCGTTTTTAAAAATTTTGTTGCAGAAATATAGATATCTATCTTGTATAATTCTTGGAGGTATTTGTTTGATCTTTTCTTATATGTTTTCCTTAATCTTTTGCCTTTTAAGAAATTAAGAAATTTCAAGGCTTTCTAATGTTATATTGATTGAAACATATATATATATATATGTATATGGTTGTATAAATATATATGCATTTATGTGTGTGCGCGCGCGCGCGTGTGTATGTGACTGTGTGTGTGCGTGTGTATTATTGTTTGCAGGAAGTAGAGGAAGAAGCATGTAGATCAGAGGATCAAGGGCTTGGTTCTTCATGGGATGGTTTATATCTTAAGATGATAGGCAGGCTTTTTCCTCTGCAGAACCAAATTGAGGAGAAGATCTTAATTGCCTGGTGATGATGGAGTCTCTTCTAAATTTCAAATTTTACAACTATAAGTACTTTTACTTTCTTGATTATAACTATATCTCAGATGATATTTCTCAAGTTTGATAAGAAATTTAGAGTTACTAAATCTGCTCTACTCTTCTTGATCCTTGGTTACAAATACTTATATATATGTGTGTATATATATATATATAATTACTCTACAGGCATAGTGAGACATTTTACCATTAAAATGATTCTCGAAAGAAGATATTATATATCTAGCTAGCCAGTTGCTTTGTGGATAGAATGCAAAGAAGAAAAGGGCCATTTGGGGTATCCATTATTGCGGAAAAGAACTGAAATCTTTGCCCAAAGTAGGCCAATATGTATACTATTTCCTCAGAGGTTCTTTGTTATATATCTGTGTGTGTGGTTGGGTGGGTGGGTGGATATATACAGACTATTTATAATAGTCATGACCAGCTAATTCAACAGTGTAGAAGTTTTGAGTTGAGGCAATATGTATGTAAAGCACTATTAGTTCATACCCTCCATTTACAATGTCAATAGTTATATTATATATATAATCCAATTTGATAGATCATGATGTAGTAGTTGGAACAGAAGTTGGTCTGGATAAAATGTTTTATTGGGTGTTTTGAAGGAATCCCATATTGTTGTTTGTTTGCTCGTTGTTTTTCTTCCTTGTTTATATACTTTGGTTATTTGATTATATGTGTGTGTGTGTATATATACATAATGAGGGAAGATGATGAGATGAGTTTGGCATCCAAAGAGAGACCCCTGAGAATGTACAAAAACTAAAAATCAATTAGGAGATGAATGGGTCCATGGAGGTCAGACATTTCTTAGCGTTGTCAACCATTTGTGGAGCATGAAAAAGAAATCACTTCACTCTTAATTAGTTCTTCTTTTCGTCTCTGCTTTTTCTCATAGCCAAAATTTCTTAAATCTTTTCTTCCAAATCCACCAATGGTGGCTCGGACTTGACTCTTTTATTTCGTAAAAAATTGACTGATATACTAATTATTTAGTTAAGTAATTAATAAAAAAATTAATGCATTAACCTCATATTAAGGTTTAATTTAGTAAATAATTTATGTTATTATGAATGTGATAAGTTAATATGTATGTGTGTGTGTGTGTATATATATATATATATATATATGTTGTGGACCATTGGTGTAAATTGATATGGTGGTTTCAGAAGGAGGAGGACCACTGATCTGCTAAACCTAGCCACAAATTACAAGTCTGTGGTGTAGAGTGAGAGGTCGTTGTATGATTTTTGTATGGTTGCTTTTGGGATCTTTCAATTTCAATTTGTAGAAAGATAGCCGCCCTAATTCATCCATTATATGTCAAATCATTCCAGTTGATTGTACTTACAAAAATATCTTCAACTCTATCTCCTATATATACATAAAACTTATACGTTCAATTATAACCTTATTTTTTCCTAATTTGAGTAGGAATTTTTTGCAAGGTTAGAGAGAGGGGTTTGCAGGAAAGTATACGTACGTATAGATACATAGGAGTTGATGGGTGGGTAATAATTAGAAAACGTAAAAAATATGGTCTTCCCATTTTATATCACCTCTTGAAAGTCTTATCAACAATCATGAAAAGAAGATAACCCACAAGGCCGTGTAGTTTGGAGGACCCAGCTTTTTTAATACTACTGGAACTTTGAGTGGATTGAAATTGACTGTTGCTGAATATATGTTCTTCCAGATATATCTATACTTCAACATAAGTTTTTTTTTTTACTTGTATTTTATTATTATTTTAATAATAATTTTTCATTATATTAATAATTATGATAATATTGAATAATAAGTATGATGAGTAATTTACCTACGTTTTGTGGTGTTGAGAGTCCCATATTTTGTAGTTTGATTTTCTATTATTTTATATAATATAAAATACTTACCTGCTTATTAGACCAAGTCCAGCCTATTGGGCCTGATGGACCGGGCCCCTGGATTGGGTCCAACGAGGTTCAGCCCATTTGCAATGGTGCCCTATAATACAATTCCCTAATATACTCCCCTTAACTTCATGACTTTGTTCTTATTATAATAGCATTGCCATAAGCTCAAGCTTATAAAATTTATTTAGTTACAATCATGTGACCTAATGGCTAAAAGATTTGATCTTTACAATTAATACTATGGACTTCTTGAGCTTATGTAACATTATTCTCCTTGATATATACACGTATTTTTAAGGAATGGCAGACTCCGCATGGTCCTCTCTAAACGAGCGGAGATGAAGTTGCCGGGTGAAACTAGAAGTCGTATCCAAAAAGTAAAGAACAAATGACATTATGCAACAACAAACGAGCATAGGAATCGGTCCAAAGATCCAAAGGAACATAGGGAATGACACGTAGAAAGCTCTCAATCCAAGTGACCAAAAGTAACTTCCCCTATTCAAACTTCTCGCCACATACTCCATAGATTCTTTCTTACCTGCTGAGGAAGGCACAGTAGCTAAGAAACTGCAATGTGCATAGTATCTGATAGACTGCACGTTGCAGAGAAAGGCAACAAGGAAGCACAACAAGATGGTGAAGTACTTGATTGAATAAACAAGGGGACTTTTGTTGCCGTAAACAAGCTGAGAAGCCGTGTTTGTGGAGTCCGATGTGCTGCTAACAAAAACACTGATCAGCGAGCACAGAGTAATTGCTGTTGTTGCTAAAAGCGTAGATGCCATTATGTTATTACGGATTGTTTGAACTGCCAAAACCCCATTCTTCAGGGGATCCTGAAATCATTAAAATGTTGCTGCCAAAGTTAATGCAGACAATTACAACCGCTGATCATTCAAACTATGTAAGTGCTAATGCATATGAGATTTCTAGCTTCTCAAAAGGTTAAAACAAATGAGCTTAACTAAAACTATTAACTTTGATTAATACAAGGGGATTTTTACTTCTGGGCATAACATTTACACTTGGAAGAAATAAAAGACTTGTTTTCTTTAATAAGATAACAGCACATAATTGATAAATAGCAACTGAGGCAATAAAAGGCCAAATTTAAAGCAACTTTCATGACCCACTTAAGGCATGTCTTCCAGAGACAGGTCAAAAAGAGTTCAGAGCATCAATCAAGGGGGCATTTTGTGATGGAGTGCATACAAGCGCATGTTGTCCACTGATGAATGGATAGATATATAGATGAATACCAATGCATGTGCATAACGTGAGCAATCCAGTATCAGAAACATTCAAGATAATAAATTTTGTTCTCATAATAAAACTATTGTTAATGGTCTGACTGCCCAAACTCACTATGTTAAAATTCGAAGCGACCGCTATTTTGAAGTCAAACAAGAATCACGATAAGTGTTCCTTCCAATAATGTAAGGAAATCATGTTGAAGCTAAACAAGAATCAAGAAAAAAGTGTCATTCTAATAACGTAAGGAAATTATAGTGAAAAAAAAAAAAAGTTTTAATGGGAGACCAATGTAGAAGCATAAGATTCCCAAGATTTTTTTAAAAGCTGTGTGATGAACAGGAGATTTAAGAAACCAGGGCCACCATGTGCCTCCCTCCACCACCATTGCTTTTTACCATTAATCTAATTCAACTTAACATTTTCCTCCACTTAATAATCCTTGATTTAGAAAAGAAAAAAAAAAAAAGGAAAAAGAGATTAGTCAACTATTTCTTGCTAATTAACCAATATGCCAACAATGTCTCATTTGAAGTTTTCTCCATATCAAGTTAATTAACTAAGAAATCACAACCTTGGTATTCAAAACTAAACATGTGCTCAAAACATTAAAAAAAAATATATATCTTAGAAAAAGACATAATTGTCATTAATTTCGGGATTCAGCCACTTGTTCTTGGGGCTGGTTAAGTTGAATAAGTTTACTATAACTCAATCTTCTACAATCAAGACTGAAGATACAATTTGCAAGTTTATTTCTTTTCAGTAACTTCAGCGTTAAGATCTTCTCTTGCACTTAAGCAAACTCAACCCACAAATATCACAAAAGAACTGCCAAAAACAATTGAAACCATCTTTAAATAGAAGAAAATAAATCTCATGTTATGCCAATCTAAAAATATACATTAAATGGTGGTAGAGAATCTAAAATCACAATTAATCCGAAAATCCAGAAAAATTATACCGGTTATCTTCCCCTCTTTCCTTTCAATTAAATACAAAAACATCATCTTCTAAAATGAATATCAATCATCTTGGCAGATATGATCCTAACAACAACTCCAACTCCTACTAAAATTAGAACGCTAGCCTTCCAAGGGCTTCTTCATGTTATATGGAAATCCCAATCAATTAACCTCTAAATTCCTTATGAATTGTGTAAAAGCCATAATGACGATCAGCAAGAGCAATCGTCATTCAGATTTTTTTTAAAAAAAAAAAAATCGATACCGAAAATCAGATTCCAGATATAATTGGCATAATCCAAAACAAAAACAGAGAAGATGAGAGAGAGAAAAAAAAGGGGACTAACAGACATCATGGAGAAAATCCACTGACGGCGAGACTCCGCATTGAGGCCGATGACAGTTCTGGTGGGGTGACGGAGGATAGTGAAAAGAAGCCAAGCATGGTATAAAACCAGTACGAACAGACCCAGTGGAACCAGTATGTAATCCAAGCTCTCTTGCTCCATTTTAAGGAATTTTAACTCTGCGTCTAGACACGCAAACTTCGCGAGAGAGAAAAGCAGCAAACCCAGTCTCCTATATAAATAAATACGTAAAATAACACAGCTATTTTTTGACGAAAAAGGTGGCCGACGCCAGTTTTTTTCTTTTTTTATTTGAGAATTTATTTTTATTTTTATAATTCTTTGAATGGTATTATGAAATTATGAATTTGAGTGGGAGAAAATATTAAGTTAAAATATATGTTTGTGTGTTTATCAAAAAATTATACTAATGTATGACTAATTAATATTATATATTATGTAGTATCTAGAATTAATTTTAAAAATTTAAAATTAATATATAAAATATAATTTATAAATTTATAAATTTTTATTTAATGTAAAAATTAGAAAAAAAATAGGTGGGTGACGAAATTGAAAATAATTTTGAGAAAAATGGGTGAAAATTTAGGTTCTGATGGTGTTTTTGAAAGAACAATAAAAAATTAGGGGTCAAAACATAATTTAAAAAAAGTGTCACGTAGGACTGTTCAATCAGCAACCTCGACGAACCGGAGCGCGTCACGTGGCAAGGCACGATGATGTGGTGTCATGCGAGAGGCTGCGCTGGCAATCTGCGTGCCCGCGATCGGACGGTCCATATTTGTTCTCGCGCGCTTGGACGGTTCGGATTCGTTCCCTCTTTAAACGCGATTATACGGTCCAAATCAAATCACGATAAATGATCTAAATTCATTTTTTCTTTAAACGCGATTGGACAGTCGAGATCAAACACGATGAACGACTCAGATTAAAGGAACATGTATATAAATATTTCACTTCACACCGAACCCTAACCCTAGCCGTCAGCCCCTCGCTGGAGAAAAAGAACCAGTCGCCAGAGAAGGGAGTCAATCACCGCCCCTCGCCGCGCCAGAGCCACATCCGACCACCAAAAAAGGTAAAAAAAAATTTATTCGCTCGAAAATTGATTTTAAACACCCCCATGGCCAAATCGGAGCAAAAAGATCGGCGGACGAGCTAGAAACCGCTGGTAAAGCCTTGCAGCGCCGCCGCAAGAAAAATAAAAAATCACCTCCGATGAGCCCCTTCCCGATTCCAGTTTTGTACGATTTTTCTACCATTGCAATCACCATTCTATTTTCTACAGGTTGACCGAAGAAAAACGTTCAACTGCGAAGGTGAGCCGGCGGAGCCGCTACACCTAAAAATTTCATCGCTTGTGAGTTTTTGTTTTTTGACCTTTTTCGGCCAACCAAGACTCCTTAACGTGTTTTCTCACATGGATGAGTATAAAACCAGCCAAAAATGGTCAGTCTGAGGCAAATTACCGCTGTGAGCGACAGTGCCGTCACCGGAGCACGGCACAGTTGCCGTGCTGGAATTTTAAAATTTACCAAAAAAGGTTTTTAACACAGTTTTTGGATTTTTTGGGGTATTTTTAGGTACTTGAAGTGTGTTTTAACCTCCAAAGAAAAATTTAAAAAACTCAGAAACCACTAGTAGGCGTAGCTGAAAGTTTACTGTTTTGGATATCGATTCGAGTAAGAATCTCTTGCCTTATTCCCTGTTATAGAATTAAAATTTAATTATAAATAATACAGTATTTTGTGTAATTTAGAAAATTTCGATAATTAATTACAGGTTACTGATGGAGTCGGAATTGGTTATTTATTACTATTTATCATGTTTTAACTGATTGTTTGATTTTACAGTTTTAAATAAATAATAATACACTAGATTTGATAAGATAATTCAGTTATGTTTCTTTGATGCATGTATTGCTTATTTTGCATGATTTACAGTTAAATTATGAAACTAAAAATTAAATATAAACAGAAAATTGCTTGATTAAGTGAATGAATGAATAGTAGCCTTACTAGATATCTTGGGATATGGTAGACGGACTGGGTACATAGGAAACCCTAATGTGAACGTTGCATCATACCAAATAGGGTATCGAGAATTGGTATTTTGGCACTCATACCGGATGGGGTATGGGGACGGCCCATTTCACCCCCATACCGGCGGGGTATTGAGGGATGGTATGTTTGGTGCTCATACCGGACGGGGTATTGAGGGATGATATTTTTTGCACTCATACCGGACGAGGTATGGAGACGGCTGGTTAGTTGAAAATATTGAATAAGGGTTCACGCGTAATGAGGACATCTCTATGGACCCCCACGGATACTAGTAGGCAAATAAAAAGTAAAAGTTATTATTCTGACTAATTAAAAATGAGATTATGATATTGTTTGTGTTATTGCCTCTATAGATCAATTTTGAAAATCTCGCTACGGTAAATATGTAATAAATGATTTTATTTATGCTAAATAAATTTATTTAAATTAAGAGCTCTATTAGTTATTTTTATGATTTTTACCAACCTTCATTATTATACCGATGAGTAGATGATATTCTTACTAGACTAGTGTAACTTATTCTTTCATTAACCATTTCAAATCAAGAGGACCAAGATTCTGATTCTGATCCACAAGAGGATTGCGAATAGGATGCTCAATTGTTTACTTTCCATTTATTTCTTTAATTTTTCGTTTATTCTTTTAGAATGATCATTCTTGTAGCCCTATTGGGTATTCTGAATTATTGTGTAAGGAATGTAAAGTCTAACTTTATTATTTCGCTTCTGCATTTAATTTATAATTTATTTTCTTTTATGTTCTGAGCCGTTACAGTTGGTATCAGAATCGCGTTCTTCGAAACCATTCCTTACACAAAAAGCCTATGAAATATTAAAAAAATGAATTATCACTTAATATTCCTTGTGAAATGCAAGTACAGATAGATGATGAGAGGAAGACCCCCACTAAACCGAGCAGCCCGGGAGGGTTTGCTTTGAGAGGATGTTGACCAATTATTTGAAATGCTGGAGAGACTCATCGCTGCACAGCAAGCCTAGGAGGAAAGGATGGTGAAATTTTGGGTTTTGAATGTATTTTTGAAAAAAAAAATTGAAAAATTAAGAGTCAAAATGCAATTTAAGAAAAATGTGCCCAGTCAGCAGCGCCGACAAACAGTAGTGCGCCGCGTGACAAGGCACGCTGACGTTGTACCACGCGGAAGACCGCGCTGGTAATCTGCGTGCCTCGAACGATCCAAATTTGTTCCCACGCGCGTGGACGGTTCAGATTCGTTTCCTCTTTAACATGATCGTACGGTCCAGATCAAATTGCGATAAAAGGTTCAAATTCATTTTCTCTTTAAATGCGATCGAACAATCAAGATCAAATGCGATGGACGGTTCAGATTAAAGGGATACGAATATAAATACCTGACTTCACACCGAACTCTAACCCTAGTCGCCAGCCTCCCGCCAGAGAAGAAAAACCAATTGTTAGAGAATGGAGTCGACCGCCACCCGCCGCCGCGCTGGAGCCACTCCTACTGCCAAAAAAGGTAAAAATTTTCTCATTCGCTCGAAAATTTATTTTGAACACCCCTATGGCCAAATTGGAGAAAAAGAACCGGCGGATAAGTCAAAAATCGTAGGTAAAACCTAGCAGCAGCATCGCAGAAAAAACTAAAAATCGCCTCCGATGAGCCCTTTCTCTATTCCCATTTCGTGCGATTTTTTCACCATTGTAATCACCATTTTATTTTCTACAGGTTGATCGAAGAAAAACACCAAACTCCGAAGGTGAGCCAGTAAAGCCGCCGCACCAAAAAATTCTGTTGCCGGTGGGTTTTTGTTTTTCGATTTTTTTCGACCAACCGAGACTCATTAATGTGTTTTTTTGCATGAATGAATATAAAACCAGCCAAAAACTGCCAGTTCGAGGCAAATCGCCGCCACAAGCTACGATGTCGTCGCTGTTGCACGGCGGCACCGCTGCCGCTGGAATTACAAAATTGGCTATAAAAGATTTTTAACACCGATTTTAGATTTTTTTGGGGTATTTTTAAGTACTTGAAGTGTGTTTTAACCTCCGAAGAAAAATCTAAGAAACCCGGGGACCGCCAATAGGTATAGCTGAAAGCTTAGTGTTTCGGATATCGATTCGAGTAAAAATCTCTCACCTTATTTTCTGTTATGGAATTGAAGTTTAATTATAACTAATACGGTATTTTGTGTAATTTAGAAAACTTCGATAATTATTACAAGTTACTGATGGAGGCAGAACTAGTTGTTTATTACTGTGTGTCATGTTTTAACTAATTATTTGATCTTACAGTTTTAAATGAATAATAATACACTAGAATTGGTAAGATGATTCAATTGTATTTTTTTTTTATACATTTATTGCTTGTTTTGCGTGATTTATAATTAAATTGTGAAATTAGAAATTAAATGTAAAGGAAAAATTACTTGGTTAAGTGAATAGATGAATGGTAGCCTTACTGAATATCTTAAGAAACCCTACCGTGAATGTTGCCTAATACCGGAGGGGGTATCGAGGATTGGTATTTTGGCGCTCATACCAGACAAGGTATGGGGATGACTCGTTTCACCTTCATATCAGACGGAGTATTGAGGGATGGTATTTTTGGCGCTCATACCGGACGGAGTATTGAGGGATGATATTTTTTGTGTTCATACCGAACGAGGTATAGGAACGGCTGGTTAATTAAAAATGTTGAATAAAGGTTTACGTGTAGTGGGGACATCTCTATGAACCCCCATGGATACCAGTAGTCAAATAAAAAGAAAAAGTTATTATTCTGGCTAATTAAAAATGATATTATTATGTTGTTTGTGTTATTGCCTCTATAGAATAGTTTTTGAAATCTCGTTACGGTAAATATGTAATAAATGATTTTATTTATGAAAATAAAATTACTTAAATTAAGAGCTCCATTAGTTGTTTTTATAATTTTTACCAACTTTCATTTTCTGTACCGGTGAGTAACGTGATATTCTTACTAGATTAGTGTACCTCGCTCTTTCATTAACCATTTTAGATTAGAATAACCAAGATTCAGATCCCAATCCACAAGAGGGTTGCGAATAGGATGTCTAGTTGTTTACTTTCCATTTATTTCTTTAATTTTTCGTTTGTTATTTTAGAATGGTTATTCTCGTAACCCTATTGAGTATTCTGAATTATTGTGTAAGGAATGTAAATCTTAAATTTATTAATTCGTTTCTGCATTTAATTTATAATTTACTTCCTTTTATGTTCCGGACCGTTACATATTATATAAACGATAGTTGATTTTGAAGGGAGAATAGCATAATCATAAGTGCACAATTAAAATATTTTCATGAATTTAAGTGGTCCAATTGATATTATCATGACAACCTTAATTTAATTATTAAAAGTAGTTGATGATATCAGAAAGCAATATAATTAAATATTGCTAAACGTAGTTTTAGACTTTTAATTTTCATATGGTTATGTGTATGTGGACATGTAAATAAACAATTCCCTCGTGATAAAATATAACAATTTGAATTTTTTTTTTTTTTTAAAAAAGAAAAATTAGAATGAATTTCGTACGTAAATAAAACTGGGAATTAAATCCCAGAACCAGTGAATATAAACGACTAATTGAATAAATTGAATAAAATAAGTTTTTAAGTACTTACATTTTTAATTATGTTAATATCCATATTTTTCATACCTTAATATATAAAAGAAAATATCGTTACCATGCATTAAGACACAGCAATTGCATGGCACGTCAAATTCCATATTTTATTTTAATTAATTATTATTCTATTAAATGAGGATTAATTTATGAATTAATGTAACATCAGTCAAGTATTAAATCTACAAGTCTCAATTAGTCAACGTACAATATATATTTAAATCCTTGCATGTGAAAATTGGACCAAAAACAAAATCAAATAACTAGTGGCAAGTATTTATTTATGAAACCTTAGTTGTTACCAATTAAATTAAATTTATTTAGATGTTGCCAAAACAAGTTGTGTGTTGCGTGTTACATTGTTCGGTCTAAACCCACAGAAAATATTATTATTATTGTAAAGTTGTGTAAAATATATAACAATCTATCGTGTACTTTAAATAAATATTATATTTTTAAAAAAAAAATATATTAAATTGAATATTAATTTAATTAAAAAATATTTTTTTAATTAATAATTATAATTTTTTTAATAAATTAATATTTTAAATTTTAAATTTATTAAATTAAATATTATAAATCGACTACTGTCAACTCATAATGCACTTATAAATCAATAAATTCTATATACTATATACTTAAACAAAATTCAGCTTAAAAGTACAGAGTGCAAGATTAAGGAAAAGGAGAAATGATCTAAGCTTCTGATGACTACAGATGCCAAAATATCATAATATAAGCTTCTAACATTTTATAATAATTCATCCAAAAACTTTTACATAATTTACTAGAGAATATTAAAGATTACCATAGACTCGGTCACGCTTCTGATATATGATAGATTTTCTCAAAGAATATATTTTTCTCAAGCTAAACAGCTTTTCGGATTTCTCATCTCCATGCACATGGAATAAGGAAAACATGGCTTTGTTAAAGATTTATTAATATTACAAAAGAAGAAACAAACTCGACTTCTTCTTAATTTACATGTCAGATTGAACCCCACAAGACCCATCCATCCAACAGGAGCTTCAATCTGGTAGGCACACTCTAGAAAGGTCCCTCTTAAGAGCTTTTCCCGGTAGCCTTGCCTAAGGAAGTGAAATTCAATCTGCAGAATGAGAAAAAATGACAGTTTCCAAGTTATCATTACCACTACTGCTCCCAAGAAACACCAACAAATTATAATAACGAAATCTGGTTCATTTCCGTATGCTGTATAGAAAAAATGGCAGTGTGGAACGCAAGACAAATTTCTTGGGGGTCATACCCAAATGTATAGCACCTTTAGATGAATTCTCATTCTATTCCTAATCAATTCTCTAAGTAAAAAAAATTGTCTGGAAATGGAATGACAATTATACCAAACGAAGCCTTAATTTTTTTTCCAGTATATGAATCACTACTTACCGGATTAGTGGTTTCCGCTGTGGTATGGAGGCAGAAGGTATCCCAATCGGAAGTGGTGCTGCAAGTTCAGAAGGCTTCATGGAAGAAAACAAGAAAAACAAATAACTGTCAGACTTGCTCCACATAACCCCTAGGTGTACTGAAATATGTCTGTGCAAATCGACATGATCAAAACAGGATTGATATAAAATTGTCAGACAAGAAAATCAAGTGCACTACTACAGCAGCCAAGTTTCAATAAGTGGCACTACAGATTTTCGGAACTTAATTAATGACTCCAGAAGACACTCCTAGTGAAATTATTCTACTCCATCACAACCAAGCAAAAGCTGTTGCTTTTCTTCTCATGACATTCAAATATGCCTGATTGCAGACGATAACATTTCCACATGATGTCCAGAAGATGAAGTAAACACAATATGGTCCACTTAAGAAAATACTTTTCAGATCAGATGCATGGTTTCTGCAATTCGTATAGTACTAACCAAATTATCAAAGTTCTAAGTTCCTAGAGACAAAAACCATCAAATATAACAATTACTGAAAAATGAAAATAAAAGGCAAAAAACATGCAGGCTAAGCAATCTTTTGTTAACATTTAGGGGCAAGCAATTCAAATACCTCTAAGAAACAACAATTTCAATAAGAATAAAAATAAAGGATGCACCAGTTCAAAATTATCCATATATTTCTTAATTAATACAATACTACTTTACAAATATTCAATTACGTCTTGACTTGTGACAATTGATTGCAATTTACTTGTATCTAGATTGTTATAAAACCAAGCATTATTTTCTGATAGAAAAAAAAAACAAATGTCAAAGAATTTCAAACTTTATCTAAAAATTTTAATTTTTTCAGGTTACTAGAACGTCAGTTGCATTACTCAATTCAATAGTTTCATTATCCACTTCATTCAACATTTTTTGCTCTACTGGTTGAGGGAGGACAAAATTTACAACTAAGTTTGTTATTGTACAACTTCACCTAGAACTTGGTACATTCACCACAATAAATGTAATGCTTTTTGCCAAATCACACATAACATAATTCTTATTTTCCAAGTTGCATATAACTCATGATCACACTTCTGCTTTATATCAAACCATTATCAACACCAAAATCTATTTGATTACAGTAAAGGAGAACCTTTTTTTGCACCATAAGCCACTCAAATAACAGCCATCATTCTTTCTTAGTATCTTCAAACAGATGATAGTAAGAAATGCAACTGCTATAAAAAAATAACAAGTCCAAGGGATAGTAGAAAAGACCTCAAGCTCCTCTAGGACCCCATTAGAATATGAACCAGTTGAAGGACCAGCTTTATTACTAGAAGTTACTGGTGCTGCTACTGTAACATTGGCTGTTGAGGACTCCATGGGGCTGCCTTTTGTGCTTTCCACATCTTTGACTCGATCTCCGAAATCAAAATCATCTTCAAGCTCATCAAGTTCCTGTGGAGAAGCTTGATGTGCAACATATGGACCACACATCATCTTTTCTATTGCTAACTTCTCTGCCTCTTTAGAGCTTGATGTAACAACACTGTCAATGAAAGCTGCACTAGGTGGATTGCATCTTACTGATCCATCACCCTCACCGTTCCTAGAAGATACCTCTGTGTTCCTTATGCTTAATGTACCTATTGCGTTATTCTCTGGGTTTTCCATCCTTGATTCCCCCGACACATTTCCCTCCACTTGGTCACTCTTTACAGAACATGAACTCACTGTGCTGACAGGTGGACTACCCTCACGAACTTCCCCACTATGTACAGGTACAACAGGGATACCTTTAGCTTTGCTGTCTTGAGTTTCTATGTTATCATCCACCCGCTTTCTCTTCCTTCCATCATCTGCTCCATCTGAAACTAGTTTTCCTTCACATGATCTGTCTGAACCAGCATGACCAGAAACCTTAGATCCTGAACCCCGTCTGCTCTCTGATACTATTTTAACGGGACGTGAAGGCCGAACTCCACCTGGAAATACAAAAGCAGGTATGTTCCTGCGCTTTACATGGGTGACATAGATCTCCATTCCAGGCTTCCATAGCATGTAGATGTTGACAGACTGCTTAAACTCCTCAACAGTTAGCCTTATATCAAATTGCCCACCTTCATTTGCTGGACCTCCTTGCTTTCGTTGCAAGCCCATGAAGTAACAGCAATGGAAAGGTCGAGATTTGTCTTGAAAATCACCAGGGTGAGGGTGACATAGTAGCATATTATATGTATGCCTCTCAATCTACGTTTATGCAGAAACAGCCGCATCAAGGTCAAAATAGCTTAAAAATAGCAAAGAAAAGAAAGATAAGGAGGAAGTGGAAAGAAACAGAAAATGATAACAATCATATAGATTAATCCTGGTATTTCACCTTCAATGTAAGCTGACGGAGGCGAGACTCAACCCAGCCTTTCCACTTTCTTAAATCATCAGCATTTTCTGCAGAGATTTCAATCTGTAGATAATTTTTGTAAGCTTCAAAGAAAGGATAAGGCTCAAAGAGGGCATCCCATTCTGCCTTGTTTGCCTCCATAGACTACAAGAAAGTTTGAAACAACAAACAATTCAGAAATATAGATGCTAACACAAAGAAGTTTCATCAAAGAACTTGACACTCATCTAGTCTGTCCCTGTTGCCATTACAGAGAATTACACTCATAAGTTTCGGATAATTTGTTATTATAATATATTCATATTGTTCTATTTATTCTAGCTGTTGCCACTTTCATTATAAAAGATAAATGCCTGATTATCCTGGATACCAGGCTGAGAAAATTTTTTTAAAACTAAAGCCTCCAAAAGAAATATTAAACATAAGATGAGTTTTAAAAAAAAAAATTAGAAAAAAAAATAATGTGAGTTGTCTCTCTCTCTTGATAAAGTAAAAGAAAAGCTTACATCTAGGACGCGAATACACAAGTATAATACAGTTTCCCCTTTTTTGAAGAAGAAAAATTTTAGTACAAGTATTTTTTTCACTTGCAAAAGATAATACAAGTTCTGACATAGCCCAGAAAATACAAATTTGCAATTATGTGAAACAAATAAACTCTGATATCAATTGGCAAAAAAGATACTAATGAATTTTTTATCTCCTAATTATCTGCCTGATTACATTTGCAGAGCGGAAGAGTGCAATCTGCAACGAAGTACAGCTAGTACTTACCTCGCATAGTTCATGACCCCTCTGAAACTCATCAGTCATGATCCGCAAAGTACTTGCTGAAACATTGTAGCTAGAATTCATACATGGATAAGCAGGAGTAATTATAGGCATCAAATGGAATCTATCCTTCGGATTTCTTCTAGGATCCCAAACTTGAAGCCCAAGAGATCCCTCTTCAATCGCACAAAGCATGACAGGATTTGGCCAACGCCATTGATTATAAACTCTAAAGAATCGAGATACTAACATATTTGGCAGGGCATTAGGATATAACTGGCAAATGCGAGCAACAAGCAATGCCCAGTTTATACCACCAAGAAAACCGGCAACCTGCCATCACAAAGATGAGAAGGCTTTTACCGATTAGAAAGAAAATAAGTAGAAATAAAAGTGCAACCTTCCATACGTAAAAACTTTCCATACATTTGAATAAACACCACGACGCTTTGCCCAAAAGCGCATGCATCTCAAAGTAGTGCGGAAATTCTGCTCCCAAAAAAATAGATGCAGAGTCAGAACCAGGAATGTTGGAAAAGAAGAGTATTACAACAAATCCAGAAACATGCCTTATCTATATAGTAATGAACCAACCTGAATATTTGGGACCAAACGCAGAATCTGGTCAGTAACTCTGCAACCATTAAGACTTCTAACTGTCTGCTCATCTGCATTTTGTAAAATTGAGTCCTGAGAAATATCTAAATCCTGCACCAGTACCAAGATGTTAAAAAGAAAACAAATCAAAAGGGAAAAAAGGGAAGGTGTCAATGCACAAAAAAATAAGGAGCTGATTACAAATATGATATGCACATACTATAAATATATATATATAGCTTTTCAAAGAGTTTCATGATGGAAATATCTGTACATATTAAGCTTTGAAGCAAAGGGGGCCGTGGAAGGAAATCCGATTCTTCATATGTTTTCCCCCTTCCCCTGGGGTTTGAAGTTGAAGTTTCATTCTCTCTACCATAAATCCTTCTCAAAAGAAAGATTTCCTAGAGGAGATCATACCCAATTAAGCTTGCAGCATAATTGAGAAGAGAAGCATATCTTTTCTCACTAGACTGGAGTACTTGTGGATGCAATTTAAGTAGTCTCCTCAGTTTGGTATTTGAACCTGAAGTATATTGGATATCTATTCTTATTCTTTCATCACCTAGAAGTACACCAGGTGCTCTTGAAAGTATGTCCTCTCTCTAGTCAAATCCTCTATAGATTGATAGGTAAATATTTCAATAGGATAAATGGCAAATGCCTTTTTCCACCAGTTTGAAGACATAGGAACTCTTGCTGCCATAGTCATGCCTCAGCTTGATACTTTTGAGGATGTTAGAAAGGAGATTGCTTTCTCAGATACTGAAGAACCGGGTGCAGTTGGAAGCAGCAGGGGATTTGTTGTCAGTATGCACACTTTCTTCCTTTGGCACATTGCTAAACAACCACTTTCAACCTGCAGAGACTCCCAAAATCT